AGGGGTTTGGGGCTTTAGGGCTTACGGGTTTGTGTTCAGAGTTTAGGGGTTTAGTGAAGTTTAGTGTTGAGGAGGTTTGCGACTTGGGTCAAGGGTTTTAGGGGAAAGGCTTTGGGATAGGGTCTCTTCTTGACTCTATTTGGCTACCAGGCTTTCTGTTGTCTGCATATTGTGCCTGTCGCAACGATATTGCTACTACTCTTTCGGCGACTAAGTATCACATTAACAAAAGCTGCCACATCCTCATCGCTGCTACTATTTCTACTACGCTTTGCGGTTCTTGCGATACCTCTTCACGATACTCTACCGTGCTGTGACACCACCACACCACCACACCAACCACTTTACCACTACGCTAATACACTACTACACTCCGACACGACTACACGACTACACTAGAACACTACTACACTACTACACTTCTACACTGCGACAACCACGATGTTGACGACGCCGGACACTACTACTATTACTACTACTACTACTACTACTACTACTACTACTACTACTACTACTACTACTACTACGACCCCGACAGACGATACGTGCAGTCCTTACACCAGCTGCTTACAGAAAGAAGATGATTGCGTAGGGCTTTGGAGGGGCATACACTGGCACGTTTACAGCCCTCGGGAAATTATCTTAGTGGAATTGTTCGTGCTTCTATCCCGTCACGATCCACGGACGTGATGTCGAACCAACATCTCATCAACAAAAGCCGAAGGAGTTACAGTCAGCGTGAAGTGTCGAAGGATCCAAACTCAATGCAGCTGTCGAGTAGAACTACACGCTGTGGAGTGCCTAAAGCTCCGGCGCCCAGTGGAGAAGACGAATGCGAATTGCCAAATCATTGGTCGCACAACAATAATCACAACAACACCGATGCTCACGATCAGAGGAAGATCCTGATCGCGATCTCGGCCGCAAGGTTTCAAGGTGAACCTGTGGATGGCCAGGATTCCGGATGAGGTGTGCAGTCACGAGCCGGACTCAGCATGTGCTCACGCGCGTTTGGGGTCACAGGCTCCTCTGACACACATAGAACTCAAAGCCACAATACATCCGCGGTGCCTCTGCAATCCTTACTTGCATGTTGACCGGCCAGTGTGTCCGTTGCCATGGCTTTAAACAAGAAGTGGGTTCGTGTGCATGCGTGCGCAGTGGCATGGGGAGCAGAACCAGCTTCTGGCTTAATACCAGTACTAGTAATTATGACAATGAAAATAGTAATAATACTGACAATAATCAGTACGAACAACAATGACAATGAGAATAAGAATAATAACAATAATGATACTCATGCGACTACGTATCGTAATCGTACCAATGATAAGAAGAATCATCATAACCCGGTATAACAGACAATAATACTGATAATAGCACGAAAGACCGAATCTGAGCCTCTCTTGCAGCTTCAGCTCGAAACACCATGAAATTCCGAACTACACAGCTACTATAGGGTTTAGGGTTTAGGGTTTAGGGTTTAGGGGTTTAGGGTTTAGGGTTTAGGGCCTTGAAGTCGAAGATCTGATTCGCCCTGAGCCCCAAGTTTCGGGGGCTCACGCCTCACGCGGGCGCCCCAGGACCCTTGATCTCATGCGCACCATGGGCGAAGGTGCAAGTCTCGCCCTTCCTGTGTTGCTGGCTTGGGATCCAAGCTTTGGACTTTTTAGGGCTTTAAGCTTCAAGGGTTTAGGGCTTACAGGGCTGTATGGGCTCGGGGTTTAGGTCTGGGTTTTGGGCTTCCGCGTTTTCACGGGCGGGTGCTTTACGGGTTTATGAGGGTTTGTGAGCTAAGGGCCTTTTTTTATTTCAGGGTTTGAACCTTTCTGCTTGTTGGTAGGAGTGATCCTTGCTCTGCAAGGTACATCGAGGAGGTTCCCTGGCTCTGAATAAGACAGGTTTTCCGGGGGGTCAGGGCAGGGTGGGGGCAAATTATATAGACTAGTTACTGACTAGTTCTTACACCCCAACTTTCAAGCTCTCTCAGCCAGCCAGCCAGCCAGCCAGCCAGCCAGCCAGCCCGCCATGCATAGTTGAATACTTGAATACACTGCATACTTACATACTTACATCTGTAAATACTTACATACATGGGTACATACATGTTTGCATACTTGCATACCTACGTACTTACATGCGGACATACATTCATACATGCATACATACATACATACATACATACATACATGCATACATACATACATACATACATACATACATACATACGTGTGCATGCTGATATCCAGTGTAGATTTGGCGCAGCAGCCGTGCTGTCGAGGCTCTTGGGGGAGGATCCACTCAGGGGTTCAGGGTGTGTTGGCGTGTTGTGGCTGGCTGGCTGGCTGGCTGTCTGGATCGATGGCTGTATCGATGGATGGATGGATGCACGGACATATTCATACATACATACGTGAAGAAATAATCCACATCCTGAAGCCAAATCTAGGCCGGACTCCGCAAGCCCAGGAAACCCACAAGTGTGACCTTTCGGCCCAGGCCCTTCAGCCCAAGCCAGGAATCCCAAACCATAGACAAGCCCCCTGAACAATCTTCTTTCGGCCCAAGCTTCGTGCAGAGACCCTGCAGGAAGAAGTTGCCTGCATGGCCACTTCTCAGGCTTCATATTCGTGAGGGTTCGGGCGTTGCGAGGCCATGGGGTCCCCAGACAAGCAGTATTCGGCTGAGCCAAGCCCTGCCTGAATTGGGGAGGCCTAAGTCCATCGAACTCTGAAAGCCCGGAATCCCCAAACCCCGGGTGCTATTCTTGACCGTTTAGAATTTTAGACTAGATGGTAAACTCTTCCACAGGCACTTCAACCCATGAAAACTTCTTCTCTCTACACCTAAACCTAAAGTCTGAATCCTGAACCCTCAGCCCACACACGGCAGTCTTGCAAGGGCCTCAGCAATCCGAACAAAGGGTGCCAAGACAGCCTACACCCCATGCACGGGCGCATACCATCGACACGCGTATTGACGCTCCTACACGAGATCTTGCAGGCTCTTCTCCTGTGCACAGTTGTAACCTAAATGAAAGGATATATGTAGTAATTCCTTGGGTTTCATCATAATAAGGAACGAAAAGCTCAAAAGACTAGAGCCCCATAGACCACCGTGAAGCCCGACGACGGCTCGATCTTGCAGTCTTGCAGTACCTATACCAAGGGTGAACCGCAGCACAGCTCGCAACCGTAAGCCCTAAAACAACTCCACACCGAGAATCGAAACTTTCCTAAAACCTTCAGAACGAGGAAGAGTCTGTGGCGTTTAGGGTTTTTTTTTTAATGGCGTTTTCTTTTTGGTTCAGGGTTTGGGGTTCTCCTGGTGGTTTGGGCTTTAGGGTATAACATTACTTAGGAAGAGCTGGCGGCCGGGAGGCACATCACCGTCTTGTACTTCGCAGGGTTCGGCGCGGAGCCCATGCCCAAGGCCATCATGCCTTCCCAGTCAAACTGGAAATTCCCTAAACCCCATACCTTTTTAGACTGCACCTTCAGCTCAAATCGTAGTAAGGAACCCCTAGAGTCTATAAGTCATCTTTGTAAGGAGCCCCCTTTATCGTCTAAGGATGTCGACTGCCGGCTCAATAGGTTGCTTAATTCAAGGGCTGTGGGAGGCTCTGCCTGCGGACTGGCGGACACGGGAGGTTCCTCTAAGGGCTCCTTTAAAGGTTCCTTTAGGGTTTCGGGTTTAGGGTTTTGGGTTTAGGGTTTAGGGTTTAGGGTTCGATGAAAACACGATAAGGACAGAAGGGGAACGTTGCTAGTCATTGTTGAGACCCGTAATCTAAACCCGAAGCACCGAGTCCGCCAACCCCAAACACGAAACCCCGAAGCGCAAATCCTTAACCCAAGCTGCAGCACCAGATCTCGGACCCTGCCCCTTTCTGACCCCCCGCCCCCCACGATCTCCCTTCCGGGACAAAACTTTTGGAGTGGGTCGAAGGCCCCTCACTCGCGCCTCCCTTCCCTGCGCCGGCGCCCTTTCCAGGATTGCCTGCTGCGACTTGGTTTCACATGTTGTGTAGTTTTGCTTTAGGGTCTCAGTTTCAGGGTTCAGGGCCCGGTAGCTTCAAGGCCTCTACACTTGCTAAACCCTAAACCCTAAACCCCTAAACCCTAAACCCTAAACCCTGAGGTATTGAAAAGTGCTTCGGGGCAACCCTGATACCTTACAGGGCCCTGCTAAAGTTCAGGGCTCAGGTGTCTCAAAACCTGTGGGTATTAGAAGGCTAGTTGCTCATACGGCTCTGGGCTCTAAACTTCCTGCTTAGGGCGCGGCAGGTAATCGGTAAAGATTCAAGTCGAGGTCTAGGGGTATGTCGCAGGGAGGTCTAGGAACCGATCTCCCAGCAGAAGCATATCCGAGCAACGCGTCAAAGAAAAGATTGCTAGACCTCCAACCCCAAGCCCTAAGCCCTCAGCCCTCAACCCTAGGCGGCTTGGCAGAGCCCAGGTGTCGTATCCACCCTGAAATTACAGACTGCCGATTTCCCATCCTGCCTTTGCCTTTGCCGAGCTCACCAGGACCTAGAGAGCAGGGGCAAAGAGTCCCTAAACCCTGAACCCTAAAACATAAGCCCAGGCTTCGAAGCTTCGACTTCCCAGTTGAGGCTCAGAAGAAGCAGCCCTTCGGGTCTAAGGCTTCAGACTTGCCGACTACGGCACCGTGGTTTGGTGCGTAGAGCTTATAAGGTTCAGGGCTTACGGCCTAGAGTCTATAGGGCTTAAGGACTAGGGTGTAGGGCTTAAGCTTTGGGGCTCAGGGCTGTTTAAGGTTTACAAGGCATCAGTGCTTCCCGGCATGACCAGAGGTCAAGTTGCTTTGCATTCCCGGGTCGACTTCACACCCCGCGAATGACTGAGAGTCTGATCTCAAGGAAGGAGGGTTTAGGGTTTAGGGCTTCAGGGGTTTAGGGTTAAGGGCTTTAGGAGTTTAGGGAGTAGCAAGAGGCACTCAGTTCGAACATGGTGATCGCCCGAGGCCATGCACAGAAAGGCACAGAGACTCCAGGGGATCATCAAGGACAGCTGGGATCTCCGCTGGATATCTTCAGGGCGGCTTCTCAATGCACCACCATAGTAGTTACCGAAGTCTCCTTACGTTTAACAACCCTACACATACGACGTGGACCATTTCTAGCATCCGAAGAGACAACCTGGTGGAAGCGCTGACAGCCACTCTAGCCCCCCCCAAATACCCCAAAAGAATCAAGCCCTAAACGGATACACCTCCAAGCCCTTGCCCCAAATACTCCGAAACTGCGGGCCTGTAAACCCAAGCCCAAGCCGTATGGTAAATACGATGCTGCCGAAACCCGGAAGCTCTAACCCTGAGCCAGGTACTTTCAAGGCTACTTGGAGGATCCTGGGGCGTAGTGTGTAAAGTTAGAAGTACCCTAATTGAAGTTCTAAGTAACAATAACTATCCTTGCCTTATTCACAAGCCTGGTTACTAAGTGCCATGATCCTGCAAGTAAACCTAAAACTACTAGTATAGAGCCCATATGGTTTCCTCAAAGGAATTCTAATGGACCCTTTAAAGATCCCTTTAGGTTACTAGGCAGGTTCGCACCAACCCAAACCAATGCAAACACGGATTCCTAAACCCGAAACGCGGAATCTAAAAACCTCTTTACCCCAACTCCTGAAAATCCCAAAACCGAAACCCTAAACCCCTAAAGACCCTAACTCCCAAACATCCTAAACCCTGCAAGAAGCGAAGCCCTAACTCCCAAACTCCGAATCTCCAAAACCCTAAAGAACCCTGAACCCTAGATTCCAAAAATCCTAAACCCCAAAGCCCTGGCGACCGAGGCACCGTGGGCGAAGGTACAAGAGTCGCCCCTCTGACAAAAACCCTGTCGGCGCGTTTAGGGATCGGACTCCGCCAGGCTTTACGGTACCGCTCTACAGGGGTTTCTGGGGCAGCAACCTGGGGTACCTGAAACAAAGCAAGTTTTGCTAACTGCGGTACAAAGGTCTCGGGTTTGGTGACTCGGGTTTGAGAAGGCTCTATACAGCTTTAAAGGGGCTCTTGGGCTCTGTGGGGGGCTTGGACTCTTTGGTACCTCAAACAAGGAATTCGTGTTCCTTCCGCTGACCTCTACAACCCCAAAAGAGGAAGCCCTAAACAACGCCTCCCAAGACCTAAACCCCAAAATGCCCAAGCCCCACAAGACCGGACCGCTCTGTATAAACCCAAAAGACCCAAAATCGCGCATCCCAAAACTCGTCGATATCGGAAACTTCCAAACCAAGACGCACGAAACCCCCGAGCCCTACAAACCCGAAAACTCTTCGACTATCTCAGCCCGAAACCTGCTAAACTACCCCAACCCTGTTTAAAGCCCCACGCACAGGGCGGGCCTGGCTCTCGAAGAATGTGCACAAGACCTGCGAAAGGCTTTGGGGCTGGAGGTATTGGATTTCGGGATTTGGGTTTGGCGCTTAGGGAGTGAAGGCGACATGAGAAACCATGAACTACATATATATATATATATATATATATACATACGATACATCCTACAGGATTGTCGGGCTTAAGATCTCGGGCAGCAGGGTTTAGGAATTCCTAGGCATAGGCAGGCTTTCGAGATGCGCGTTCGGGGTGGCTTAGGACTTAGATCTGAACCCCCAGACAACTTTAGACGTAGTTGAAGACTCCGGAAACTAAGATACTGCAAAGTTGAGAGGACTTCGACTTTAGGCCTCGGGTTCTCGGATTCCGGGCCGGTATGTACTTCCCTGGACTCCACGTCGAGCTCGTGATCTAGGCAGACACGACTTGCATGAACGGTGAAGGGCTTGCGAGGCCCCGAATACTGGGTTTAGGGTTTAGGGTTTAGGCTGCGGTAGGACGAAAGTTCGACCAACTCGCGGTTTCATAGAACGGAGGCCCCCGTTTCTCAAGATCAAAAAAGGTCCAGTAAGTCAGAACTTTTGTCCTCCCGATGGAGGGTCCGGTCGCTGAGCAAGTAGGGATCAGGTTTTAGGATGTAGGCTTGAGCTTTGAGGGTGTAACTGGAGTAAAACGCAGGATCGCTTCACTTAAGGCAATACAACTCTACTTACCTGATCCTTTACGGAAAGGGTGCCTGCGAAATTCGAACGGGTTCAGAACAACTCACAGTGTAACTATGCAGGGACCCTTGGCGTAGGTTATTGCTAGCCGCTACGTTTCCCCCAGCCACAGAACAACCATGCCCTTGAGGCTTCGGTGAAGGGGATTTTGGGGCTTAGGCTCTGATGTCATACAGCTGCTTCTGGAGGGCAGGCTCGAGGGATGCTAGGACCAGGATCTATTCACGTCTTGGGAATATTTCGGGATGCCCATAGACTGTTGGATTTTCGGTTTGGCTTGCCCAAGCCCTGAATCCTAAACTCTAGCCCTGAAGGGTGTTGGGCTTAGGGGGCGTGTGGGATAGGGTGTCGGCACCGTCTTGTACTTCGTCACAGACGGGTCTGGGCCGCCGCCCCCCTTGCCATAGCCTGCGGCAACACTTTTGTGATGTCTGTGCTGCTTGGAAACAATACTGGTGCGTTCTCGTACCAGAACTACAGTTTTGCTTAGAAAGACCAGACCCCTGAATACAGATCTTCGAGGCTGCTGGTATGGTGTTTCACAACTTGTTCCTGGATGCCCTCTCTCTCGAACGACCCGCGCAGATCTGGAAGTCAGAACTAGTATAGGGGCCTTAATAATCAGCATGGGGTTTTGAGGCACATTGGACTTTCTAACAAGGAGCCCCAAAAGTACTAGTGGTACTTATTTAGGCCCCTACAAAAAATCAAGCCTGTGGGAATCCGTCTGTCACCCGTCTTGTGCCCCGTGAATACCGAAGCACCCGCGCCCCGATTGCATCCTTAGCACAATTTTTGTAAGGGATGCTAGTCTTCGCCTTCACGTAAAAGACGAAGCTTCCCGAACCACTGGGAGACGCTAGTGGCGGGCAGTTGGAAACTTAGGCATGCTCAAAAAGCAAGCAGGCCAAAGGTGCCTTTGTTGAAGAAACCCTTCATCATCCACATCATGTTCATCATGTCCATCTCGCCGCCCTTCCATCCACCTTTCCTGAGCCGAGGCTGTGAGGAGCAATCCCCCAAACCCCGAGCCTACTAAAAAACCCTACACCACTAGACCCCAACAATAAAACAGCGGATCCCAAAGCCCTGAACCCCCAAAATTGGCCCTAATCAAAGCCCGAAACCCCAATGTTCGGAGTTGGAGGTCTTGGGCCAAAGCCCACCCGAAAAACCCCAAGAACAAACTCCCCACCTCTGCGGCGCAGGATTCAGGATTTAGGCTTTAGGGGTGTATGGTTTAGGATCCGGGAGGTTCGGGAACAGCCTTGGCTCCCGAAATTGTGGGGGGGGAGGCGGTCGGCGAGCAGCAGCTGTTTAGGTAACGCAGGGGCCTTAATACTTAGAAACAGGCTCTGGAGTATGTTGTAGTACCATTTAAGTAAGGAGGTCATGATTTAGGCCTCTACACTAGGTGTCAATCGAAAGGCTGGGTCGCAACTCGGTCCCTTTTCCTGCAGGGTCCGGTCGGTTTTTGAAGCTCCCAATAATCGAACATGTCCAAAGCAGGACATGTTCTGCAAAGCTGCCGGGCTTCAGAGGGTTCCGGGTTCGGGGATTCAAGATTTCAAGGCGCGGAACCTCGGAACTAGGTGCCGGTAATGGAAGCCAACTGGGCACTAGCACGCGAACGCCTAGACCATGAGTGAGCCCCAAACCCTGAAGCCTGGACAAACAAAACCAAGCTCTGCCCAAGCTCTGGCGCCCTCATCCTGAATCCGCCGGAAACCCTACGACCTTTTTTGAGCCCTGCCGGCTGAGTCGGGGGTCTTAGTAGCCAGCTAGTGGTTGAATAGAGTTCTGAGTGGGATGAGCATAATTAAAACCCCACTAAGGCTACTTCTCACTGAAAACTCTACTGAACGACCTACTTGCCTCCACCTACAGGGAGGAAGTCCAGGATTTGGATTTGGTCTTCGATGCTATAAGGGTCTTTAGGATGTGAAAGTAAGGCTTTGGGATGCTTTCTGGTAACATTCCGTAGTGCTTCAAATAGTCCCTTGGGATTTTCTATCATACCAATTTCATACTGAGCAGCAGGGCTTTGGCGCATTAGGTAGTATAATTTTTGTTGCCAAAAGAGGCCCTGAGAGTCTTGGTAGTTAGTGGGGCCTCTATGTTATTCTGAGCTGAGCGTCATTCCCATGCCCATACCTTTGCCGCCGCTTCGGTCACCTGCGCGCATGACTGCTGGGCAGCTAAGTCTCTGAGGCGTGCTTAGGATTTAGAGCTTAGGGTTTAGGGCTTAGGGCTTCGGGTTAAAGGTTTGAGGTTCAGGGTGTGCAGTTCAGGGTTTAAGGAATTCTCGTTAACATTGTTAAGTCACGATGCTACTGCAACACATCCATTGTGCTGGGGTTTCTACTTTTCGAAACTCGCAAACATAGAATGGATTGAATTAAGGATTGGAGGATTCTAGATTTTCCTACCTGTTCAGCCAGAACCGAGTACATCATGTCATGGAGACCCACACGCAGCGCATTTCCTTGTCTACAGAAGCGCTCGGAAACCCAGACTTGCTGAACCCTGAAAGCATGATCTCTCAAAAACCTGAGCTTCCTGATCCTAATAAAGGGGCCTTCATAATTACCTAGACTATTTTTGGGGGCATTGCGGTAAAATATGCCCCAAAACCCTATTCTAATTATTAAGGCCCCCACATTATCCAAGTGGCCTTTCGGTGTCGCGAAGACCACGTTCACGGGATCCTTCAGGTTCTGAGGCACGTTGCCTGGGCTTGGGGTTCCTTTCGAAATTCCAGCTCCGGGCGTAGGTTCAGGCTTCGGGGTGGGCCGGCGATCCCGAAATCCTAAGCCCGCACATACTCTAAAACCCCTATACCTTAAGTTGTTCTAAAAATAAAACTTGAAACCCGAAGGCAACAGAGGATGGGATTGAGGGGGACGAGGAGACGAGCATGACAACGAAACGGTTCAAAAGTCTCGAGCCCGGAGTTACTTTAGAAATTCCTTAAGGCGGTCCTATATCCTTTCCGGCACTGACGAGGCTTCATAACATGGGGCTAGGCGTTTACGCATCCTTGCAGCTTCCAGATGGCGAGGGTTCAGGGACATACCTGACAGCCAAAAGCATACCCGAAGCGCCCGAACCAACAAAGCAAGCCCAAGAACCTAAATCCGAAATCCCAGAAACGGCAACTTCAACCAGAGAGGCTCAGCCTTACCCCCAACTCACAAACCCAAATTCCTGCTCTCTCCAACCTCCTTCAGCCCGGGCGCCGTTGACGTGCTCCACGATCCATTTGGCATCGTCGACAGTGGTCATGGTGACAAAGCCGGCACGGGCACTCCTCAACATTTAATGACATCATCAAGGTCACACTTTCCCTGAACTCCTAAATCCCTCTTACTTGGAGGTTCATGGGTGGGTATAAGTAGGGTTATATATCCCCGAATATGGGTTGTAAGTATGGTTACCCGAAAGTTCAAAACCCCCTAAAACCGAAATCCGAAAGGCCCTAAACTTGAGGTGGCGGGATCCGGGAGTTCGGCTGTGGGAATGAGCTTACTGGGGACGTCAGTCGCGCACTATGCCTGAATTAACGGACACCGCCCTATTCACAGTGTTTAAGTTCACCTTTTGGTAAATTTGGGGGGATAAGACCCCTACAGCCAAAAACCTAAACCTTTAGGGCTTGGAGTGAAGGCTCAGTCTTTTAGGCTTTGGGCTTCAAGAGCTTGCTTCAGTATACTTCGTGAACTGGACAGCAGAGCTTTGGGCTCAGCTAAAGCTCTGTTAGGATTATGGGTTTCGGGTCTGCGGCTCGCACAACTCGCACCGAAACAGAACAACGGCCAGCATCCGCTGAGTTCTTAAGCTGGAAGCCCTGAAAATCACAAAGCCGAAACTGCGATATCAAACGACCCCGACATGTTGAGCGCGGCACTTGCCAGGGCTCACGGGGAGGATGTTCGTGTCCTTGACCTCAGTCAGGAGCTCACAAGTGTGCAACATAGAAGCCTAATTACCAATACCATTTTGGGGGTTCCTCAATATAATTATAGCAAAAAAAAGAAAAGAAAAGCCCCATTCTAATTCTCAAGGCCCCTATTGTAGCAGTCCTTGAGGTTTCGGCTTGTAGTTTGAGGCTGGGGGGTTTCGGATGGTACAATCTGCAACTTGAGGCGGGGTTTTCGGTGATTCATGGCTTGAGGCAGCTCAACCCCCTGAACCCCTAAACCCCTGAACCCCTAAACCTTAAACCACCAAATCCTAAACCCTGAACCCGAAACCCCTAAACCCCCAAACCCTAAACCCCTAAACCCCTAAACCCCTGAACCCTAAACGCTACCAAACTCGAAGCAGTTTCCGAAGCCTCATCAGAAGCAAAACTCAAACCCTAAACTTCGCTTGGTGCTTCGGGCTCGGAGACTGGAGCGCCTTTTAGGGTTTAGGGTTTAGGGTTTAGGGACTTCCCTGAGACTTCAACTTGAAGGGACATGGCCCTGAAGAAAGCAGGGATCTAAGAATGTTGGTTTTCGCATTACCTAAACCAAACCCCCCCAAAGTGGATGAAGTAATGGCCCCATACCTATAGAAGGCTATTATTCTACATACTGTTCGGGGTCCAGGTAGGGTTGAGGTTTGAAGGCCTAGGGCTATGGGATTCAGGTTGGGAGCTCCTCTAGGGCTTCGGCCTTGGAGCTCAATTCTAGATAATGACGAGAAGTGTTCACTTAAAGTGAGGATCCCAAGATGAAGGCTCTCTTCAGGAAAGGGGCTTATTTATCAGCGGTCTACAAAATCACTCACAAAACCCTAAACCCCTGTAGTCAGACGAACCTCAAGGCCGCACCCGAAACGCTGCCCGCTGGCCGTGCCGTACTGTCCGAAGATCTCCTTCGCGTGCTCGTTGGTGCAATTCAGGGGGAGCCCGGTCCTTGCCAGCAGAACGTAAAGCCGAAGTTGAGGACCTTCAGAGTTCGAACCGTAACCGGGTTTAGGGTTTAGGGTTTAGGGTTTAGGGTTTAGGGCGCCTAAATAAAAGTTTAACTTTTAACCCTAGAACTGTCAGGGACGTTGTTGGGAGACTGCGGTGCTCAGGGACCAGGTGGGCCTAGGGGCTTTCTAGTGTCTGGGACTCACGATTTTGGCGTTTAGGACCAGCAACAATTCGTGACAGGGCGTTCTGCGCGACGCTTAGGGTTGATGGTTCAGGGTCAGAACCAGGAAATGGAGTTCAGGTTCCAGGCAGTTGTAACTCGAACCTAACCCCTAAGCCCCTAAAACACGACTCGGCCGAGAAGCACGAAGAGCGTCTCGCTCGGAGGCGGCTGCAAAGCGGCCAACATCTTCAGGCGAAGGGGTGCAGGCAAAAACTGCCAGCGAGGTTCGGTTTATAAACCATACAAGGCCGTGGAGGCCGTATCAACAATACATAGAGTCGCTACGAATACCCTGAACGCTCCTGGGCTGTAGCAGAATCTTGAAGATAAGGATGTGAGAGCATGGAAGTAAGTTCCCATCACCTGCAGATACAAGCAAAGCTGAAGAGCCAAAAATCAGGGTGCAGTCCGTCATGTTGAGGTCTTCTCCTGCAACCAAAACCTGGCACAAAGCCCTAACTCTAAGCGGCACCGGATGCATTGCCAGCGCATGGCACGGCTCATGCAAGCACCTTCTCTGCGCAGGCGGAGGTCTTCGATCCATGCAAAGCTATCGCAGCCATTGGCTTGCAAGACTTTGCTTGGTGCTTGAATCATGGAACTCCTAAGCCCTAAGCCACCGTTCTACGCTCCGGAAGCTTCCAGGAAACCTCGAGACCTTTGGAAGAAGGCTCTGAAACTGAGGGCCACCCACATGTTCTATTTCGATGACATTTTCGGTGTGCTATGAGACTTGATGCCTCCAGGTTGAAGAGTATGGGCTAAGGACCTGTCAATCTCAATATAGGGGCCTTGACAACTAGGGCAAGGTTTTTGGGGTATACTTATATACGGACTAGAAGGGGATACTCAGTACTATTCACTCCGTGCCGCGACCCGAATATTAGACAGAAAGTTGCTGGTCAAGGCCCCCTGAAGCTTCCGACTTAACTTGCCTGATTAGATACATTTTTCGATTGGCCAAATTCCACCAGCTGTACATGGGGAGATCCAAAGACGGAGCTCTTGTAAACCTTGAACACTTATCGCCTAGACTCGAACCCGATAACCCTGAATGACTCAACCCTAACCCCTGAATGTAATTCCTTGCAAGAGGGATCCATGCTTTGAACTCCCACATGAGCGTGCAAGGAAGATCCAATTCAACAAACATGCCAATATGGCAGCAGTTACAAGGGGAAAAACGGAGGGATCCTGCATGGTCTGGTGACGTAAGTGATGAGTAGCCTTACGACTAGTGTTGTCTTTGGCCGCCGTATGCTGGGAAGCAATGGCCTTTGGCATCGCGTTATCGTTATGACGATAAGCCGCACATCCAGTACAGCTCAGCTGCAAGCATTTTTATGGAAGACTGTACCGATTCGCCTACAGTGAATACCAGAAAGGTGAAACATGGATTGAGGATGAATAGCGCTGGAATTCCCAATACTTCACCTGAGGGGCACGAGGATACTGATGTCCCAATTGCGTGACTTCTACCTTGCATGGAGACGTCGCTGACTGAACTCGCTGGCATAAACACATGATGGAGTGAGTCTGTAAGCCCTGAACCCTACAGCCTCAACCCTAGACTCGCCCTAAACCGCAAACACCCTCATGCACAAGAAGTTGAAGCTAAACCCTAGACTCCAAGAATGGGTCGCTCCGAATTTCCGTTGAAGTCGGTGCCAAAGCCATGTCGATCTAACCAGCACTCTTCGGCTCTAGGCTCTGGGGTTTAGGGTTTAGGGTTTAGGGTTTGGGGCGGGGGGTTTTTAGGGCTTAGGGGCTCTAGGTTGCAGGTGAGTCGCTGTTCTTGCTTACTGAGAAGCCAGTTTGTACTGGTAGGCATGGCACAAGCAGTATATAGCGTCGGCTCATTTCAAAAACCGACACAGTCCAATGCGCCGTGAAGGCATTCGACCCATCAGGGCGATATCCTCACAGCATTTCACGGCCACACGGTGAGGTGGCATATAGCCACGTATTGCTAGAGGCTCCCCGGAAGACAATCTGGGGCTTTACGCAACTGAACCCTAATTATTTGTAGCCCTGCTCGTATACTAAGGACCCCGAAGAAATAGCTCCTAGTAATTACTCAGGCTTTCTATATTGGCCAAGCTCTCGATCGAAGCTTGGGGGAGAAGCTTTGAGAAGCGGGCCGCAGAGGCTTCTTTCGGAAGCGCGGTCCAGGGAGGTGTAAAAGCACTCGGCCCGAGACGGGCGGCGCTTCTGGCACGCAGGCTAGCAATAAGCCACACCATGAGGCGGCATGCAGCTAATTTTTCCCCTCCTCCTTGAAAACTCTATCAGCCTTATATGCTTGGGAAGGAAGGGGATTCAATGTCGCGGGGGAGGGGATTACTGCCAGAAGTTCGCAAGCAGACCAAAGGACCCGGCTGCAAAGTAGTAGCAAATCTTCTGTACGTTGGATGCGGAGACTCGGATTCCTCTGGTGTAGAAGCCTGCGCGGCTCTGCAGTATGTACTGGACAAGATACTGGCGGGATTCATCCAAGACTTCATCACTCTTGAATGCCCATGAGTTCACTAGTGGTGCGAGTCGGTCCACCTTCTCTGTGACGGCTGCGGCACTGGTGAGGCTGTAGAGGAAGAGCAGCACGGGAGGATAGAGCCATCCCAGCCACAGCCCCAGGTCCAGGAAGGCAGTTCCATGGCCGGAGAGGCTTAAGGAAACGACCTGGTAGGCAAACAAGATCATAGAGATGATGCACGAGGAAGCCAGCACCGCCAGAAACTCGCTGAGCTTGCAGGAAGTCTGCCGCAAGGTTGCCTGCACCACATTCCATTCCAGCACGGCGGCCTCCATGTCCACAGTCTTATGACTCCCACTGTCTTATTCTGTAGTCAAGCTTAAGCGATTTGAATGGCTTCGAGAGTACAGGGAGGGTTTGCTGCCAGGATATTTTGGCCCTCGTTTCCCCTGGAGTAAACAGAGCTCATCGTCATGTCTCCCTTGGTGCATGGATAGTTAGCTCTCCGTTGGCACCAGGATCGTTTCTGCGTTTCATGCCGTGAGCTCTTGTTCTTCGCACATACACGACAGTACTGATCAAGCATATCGTTCTCGCGACATGCTGACCCGGGCTTTAGCGGACAAGTTGGACGGATCAAGATACGGAATCCTCAACCCCCTAGTCCCTCCTCTCCAAACAGTTTCGCTCGCGCTTGCCAGTCCTGGAACCCACAACAAGCGTCCTTTGTGGAAATGATTGAAAGCACACCCGCCCGGGACCCTACTGCAAAGTCGACAAGATGATTTACCAAAATGCCATGGTTGTAGCAGTAGGAACCTCTTCATTGTTGCAGTTGTGTCGTCATAGCGAGTATCACTCACCACTGTTCTTCCCAAAATGCAGCGATGTACTGCCTCAAACAAAGCCCTAAACCCGTGCGATATATTGCCTCCATATCAGCCGTCTTAAAGCAACGCACCGCAAAGCTGTCGACTGCCAGCTCCAGGCCAGCTGTGATGTGAAGCGTGCAGTAGCAAGCGGCGCAGAAGCACACGGCCATGGCCGCAAAAGCTGTGATCGTAACCTCATTCTCAGGCTTTAGGTTTAGGGGTCGGGAGTTAGTGTTTTGCGGGCTAATAGGTCAACGGTTGGGACTAAAAAGCAAGTGTGCGTGGAGGCGGCAGTCTGTGGCTCGAGACACAAATGAAAAGCTATGTACATAGTGATCAGCACAGCCGCCACCACCACCACCACCACCACCGCCATCATCATCATCATCATCGTCATCAGCATCAGCATCATCATCATCATCACTAACAGTGGCACACAATTAACAACAACCACTCATTGCCTAACAAACGAGCATCCAGATAAAAAATGCCACACTCCAGCAAAACACGATGATGGTGGTACTGCTCAAGAAGAAGACGATCATGGTCGGAGTGGCAATTCGGGCAAGCATCATGGCAGGCCAAGTAGCGACATCCTGTGCAAGATCTTGCGTAAGCTTCCCGTGGCTGGGATGTGACGTCAGCAGCAAGGCCGATGTGCCTTGTGCGCTAAGTTTGCTGTCTAGAGGTCACGGTCCAGAATCGGTGATGTCCTATGGGAAACACGGCTTATCTTAGTTAGTTTTAAGAACCTTCATGTTATAAGAAAGTGAAGGCACTTGATATGAGGGCCGTCGTAATTTGAATAGCGTGTTGAGCTTCGTACACATATACCAGGGACTATAAAGGACTACCACTACTACTATGCCGGCCCCCATGTTGCTCAGCATGTAAGGTGCGGCTGCTCAACATCAGCACGAAACCACCACAAATCTGCAGCAGCCGGAGCCGTGAGAGCTTTCTCCACTCATCCAAGAAATCGCACTCAGCTGCCTGGCATGGAATTTTGGCTTAGGCTTGGGGATGTGTTATTCTGGGTGTTGGATGAGGGGCACAGGGTTTATTGTTCAGAGCGGCTGGAAGGAAAACACCCAAACGGCAGCTGAAGGTGCCGACCTCTCTACAACAGACTTTGCAATATTCGTCCAAGTTTAGGAAGTGAGAAACCCCTAATATCGACTTCAAGGCCTTTCATACCTGACAGACTGAGGCGGGCGAAGAGTCCCCCTCCATCTCCACCCTAAACCATGAACTGCTGACGCTGAACAGCCCAAGATAAGTTCGGGTTGAGGGGCTTTTAGGGTTTAGGATCTATTCATACAGGGGCCTGCCTCCCTATGTTGAATTCCACATCCCCGAGCCCCAAATCCCGAATGGCCGATGTGCAAACCCCATCTCCTAACCCTCGAATCCTGCCCCTCCAAGCTTACAACTTAGAGGGACGAAGCAGACCTTTATGCCATGCCTCTGTTTCTGCGGAGATCGTCTTCCTTATCTACGATTATTAGATGACTTGGTCCTCGAACTGATAAACCCGGGGCAGCGGCTTCAGCCTAAGCCCCACAGCTTCCTTGCCAGGTACCACCGGTCGAACATATTGAACTCTGCGTCCCCGTTTTGGGTACCCTTATAGTATCCTTCAAGGTACCCTTCCAGGCACTCTTACACTGCAAATCGTCAAGACCAGGCGGCGTAGTCGTCCAGCAGGTGTTCTGTGGGCCCGAGGAGGTTTCCGATCTTCGACCTCTCCACGACTTCCGTTTGGGGTTGAATCCTTCAGGTTCAGAGCTTAGTAGAGCCTCGGGTTTAGGGCTTCAGGTTTGGGGTTCGACGTTTCAACTTTGGGGCTAGGACAGCCGATGACTTGTGATTTCATCTCTTGGGCATGTCTAGTGGGGTAAAACTTGCTCTGTTGTACCCTGCAGCCCGAACCCAAAAGATACAATATGCCTCAGCCTTGTGTCGTAGACCCTGATGGCATCTTCCTCCTAGAGATTGCCAATTTGCTCAACCATGCCTAGGACTAGGACGAGGACCATTCCTCTATAATCGTGCCAAGCCCTCTCATCGATACCATAATCCACCAACAGTGTGCATACTAAAAGCTAAGCCACTATAGATCCTAAGTCTTCTGACCCGCAGATACCTGAACTCCTCTGACAGCCGCGCCGCACCTGCGGAGGCTCACAGCTGCCATCAGCGCGCCCAGCAAGTAGAGCTCGGTCGAGACAAGGGGCTCCATCTCCTCCAGCACCCTAAACCCCAACCCCGAATCCTAAAACCTAAAACGCCCCAAACCCGAAGCCCGAAACGCCATCTGGGGGTTTCCGAAAATAGGGGACACTGATATGGGACCCTAAATAGTATAGGGTCCTGATTATAAGGACCCCAAAATAAGGTACCCCTTGTTTCGGAAACTCGCACGAAGAGCCAATGGCCAAGGGATCTGAAGTGTTGAGGACGGCCTAGTCAAGGTTTTTTGTTCGCCTCTTTCCTTCCAGCTATGGGTTATGATTTAGGGTTTCGCATTTAGGGTCAGCGATGCTTGGTGCATAAGTACCTAGACATGCAAGTATCGGACACTGATTTGAGTGCCAGGGCCGTCGCAGCTCTTACATAAAGTTGTTCAGAGGTCAGCCTACAGGGTTATAAGTGTTGGGGGCTGAACTGCTCAGGGTTTGGCGTACTACAGGTTTAGGGTTCAGGGTTTAGGGTTTAGGGTTTAGGGTTTAGGGTTTAGGGTTTAGGGTTTGGTTGGGGGTGAAGTCCTTGCCGTGCCAGGTGCTGAGGACCAAAGCCGAGCCGAGACTACTCATCATCTGCATTGCCAGGCAGCCGCATGCCAGGATCTTCCACGATTTCCTTGCCAGCTCCGAGAAATCGAAAGCCTACGGAAAAGACCTCCGGAATGCTGGAGAATTCCGGATTAGGAGAATAGAGTTTAGGGTCTAAGGCCGTGTAAGGTTGAAACCTTCTCTGGAATTAGTACCGTTGCAACACCAAGAAATCAGGCTCAGCAGTCTCCAAACCTCCTGCCCCAAAGCCAAAACACAAGACCCTCAACCCCAAAACCCAAAACCGGCCTAAACCCCACAGCTCCAAACCCAACAACCCTAAACCCCAAAACCCGAATCCGACAAACAGTCAACCCCAAAACCCAAAACATTATCGGCTGAGGCTCCCTTCGTAGAAATCCAGGATGCCGACGCAGGATAGCAGGAGCCAACCCAGCCAAGGCAGTGCGGTTGCCTTGTAGGGTTTTGGACCGGTTAGGATGTGCTTGAAGTTGTTTGAAACGATACTCCAAGGAATTTGTGGCTTGTGGTTTAAAGGGTTCGTGCTCTAGAGACACGGGTTATTTTGGCTTAAGAAACAAAACTCAGTCGGAGAACAAGTCCTGTGGAAGGGAACATCATCTCAATCCGTTTCACAAGTTGGAGGCCCCACTGAGGCTGTAGGCAGGTCCTGTCAGGGTCCCAAGCAGGAATCTCCATTCCCACCCAGAACTACCCGTCTACTCGCAAACGCCTTAAAATCCCCCTGCACTCGAAGCTCCGGAACGTTGAAGCCCAAGTGTCCCTCAACCCTAACTCCAGCAGCATGAGCCTCATACCCTAAGTCCATGATCTTATAAACCCTAGAACCTAACCAAAGAAACCCCAAGCATTCATGGAAAAAAAGCGAACCTCAGCGCCTGGATCCAAAACTCGTTAGCCCTTTCAGACAGCAAAAGCCAACAAAACAGCATAGGCTCTCGTTAAGGAACGGAGTTTAAGTTCCCGTGATGCGGAGTGTGTAGCAAGTAGACATGTTCTTGCCAACATGGCTTAGCTCTTAGCACGAATCCAGAACATGCACAAACCTGTGAGAGCCCTCTAAAACTCATATAAGCTCCTATAAAACCTACCAAAACCCTCTTAAAAACGATATTGCCCTTATGACCCATGACATCCTCGTAAAAATCCCCACTACATATCCCTTCTTATTGCAGCTAAAGCGACGGCCCCTTCAGCGGTGATCGACAGCCGGGAGGCCCGGAGGGCGACACTCACGCTGGCGTGAACGGAAGAGGCCGCTCCTGGCCGGCGCATTGGAAAAGAGCAGCTCAGGGGCTTAAAAAAAAGAAGTTTAGGGTTTTGGGTTTTGAGGTTTAGGGCTTTAGGGGTTTAGCGTTTAGGGGTTTAGGATTTCTTTAGAGGGATTTGAAAGGGTTCCTCAGGGCCCTTGGTGCTCTGAACAAGACAGGGTCAGGGAACATACTGCCACTACTGCGTGGAGTTAAGGTTTAAGGTTTGATGTTTCACCGGGCTGCACTGGGGCTTTTGGGAAAGGTGATGACTGGAGTTGGTTGGCTCCCAGGCTTTGCGCGGAGAAGCTTGTGATATGTGTGCTGGAAGCATCAAAATTCAAAGATATATAACTCAGACTCCGTGTGGAGGATTTGTACCTATGATAGCAATGTACGCTTCATCCCTAAACCCAAAACACAAAACCCTAAACCAACAATGTAAGCTTCATGTGGGTCGAGGTCCCTTCTTCCTGGGGGTTGCCCTAAACCCTAAACCCTAAACCCTAAACCCATTATAGGACCCTGACCACCAAAAGCAAAAGCGACACCCAACATCATCCCCCCGGGCTCCAACCCACAAACCCTGAGCCCCAGAGCCTTAAACCACACAGAACCAAAAACAAGGTTTAGGGTTTAGGGTTTAGGGTTTAGGGTTTAGGGTTTAGGGTTTAGGGTCGACTCCGGAATTCGCAGCACGTAAACCGTGAACGAAAGGTTCGGGGTGCAAGGATCGCTTGCTGTTGCATTACAGCTAGCCCCCCTTCACCGATAGCCTCATGCTGATACTCTGCATGTGCAGTTGTGGTAGTAGAGACCCGAAACCCAAGCCCTAAACCCCCAGACCTGAAACCCTAAACCCTAAACCCTAAACCCAAAGCCCCAAGCCTCTGAAGCGCTTAAACCTCAAACGTCTTCTTACTCCCAAACTACAGCATCAAGAAAAGAATCTGGGAATCATAGCAACAATATACTACCAACACTACGAATACTGACAATACCGAGAATAAACTCGTACTAACAATGTACCAATATCACTACTAACAATACTGACGTTATCATAGAAGCAATGATAATCCTAACCCCTAAACCCGAATCCCTAAAACCCTTAACCTTAGTCCCTAAACCTTAGTCCCTTAACCCTAAGCCCTAAACTCCTAAACCCTAAACCCTTAAGCCCTAAACCCCTTAAGCCTGAACCCTCAACCCCCAGACCCCTAAGCCCTAAACCCTAAAAACCTAAACCCCAAAGCCCTATACCCTAAATCCCTAAACCCCTACCCTAAAGCCCTAAACCCCTAAACCCCTAAACCCGTAAACCCCTAAACCCTAATTCCTAAAACCCTAAGCCCT